GAAAATTCTCTTTGAGCACAGAGCTAAGTCATCCAAGGGAATAACTTTCATTTCTGCCAGCTGATCTTGAGACAGGGAAGTGATCCAAAATTACTAACATCATCCAGCCTTCTGGAAAGCAACTGAATTAAATCAGTTAAAGCAAAAAAAGTGTTCACCACCATAAAACAATGGCATTTTGTAGAGGAGAATCTCTGATACTTGTTTAGCAGATTTTCTTCCCTGTGGTCCACAAAAATTAAGTGCCAAACATGCCATTATTCTCATGTGCCCCAGCCAGTGCCACCACAGACAGTTAAGAAGCCTCTTGATGTTGGAACTGGCACAAAAATTCTTTTGGTATTTTTTTCTTTCTGAGTAATTGAAGCATGAGCTACACCAGTACTACTGATACAGAAAACAATTCTACAACTGATTTGTATCCATCCCTGTACGATGTGTCAGTTTTACAACAGGAAAGTGGCAGGATATAGTCTGGTACTCTCCTGTACTCCAGCTCCTACATGGATTTGCTCTACTGAAAGCAGTGGCCTTTGCAAAGCTCTTAAAGCCAACCAGACTGAATTTTCCAGGCACCTAAATATTCTGCCAGTGCATACTCTGACCTTCAAATCCCCAAAAAGTTTTCTGCAATAACTTATTGTGAAACAATGCTCACATGCTACCCTGAATAGGTCAAAAAAGAACATTACTATATAAAAGACCTAATATTGATGGTTAAGGAAGCATTATTTTTCAATCCTATTAAATCCTATGCATGTGATTAAAATGTCAACTATCTAAACTAGATCTATGAAAGATGTTACTGAACCAGTAAAAGAAATATTCAATTTTTGTGATTTAACCTCATTTAGATTTATTTGTCTCTGCAAGTATGTACTGCAAATTAAGTTATATATAGTAACTCTTAAATATTTATCTTATGATAAGGCTGAGTAAATGAATTTCTCATTAAGTATCTGCAGTTACAAAACAACCTAACTCTGACTACTAACTTACTAATAAAAAAGATCAAGGATCTTTTTGATTTTGGAAGGGCTGATTGTGGTTTTGGTTTAGTTTTTTTTGTTACATAAAGCCTGATAAGGCTATTCTCATGAAAATGAGAAGGTGTATTTCCCAAACCACACTGTGTAATTTGGCTGTTGCACCTTTCCTTTCCTTACCGGAAAAAGCAATACTCCTATTATATGAAGTCACTTTGAAGACATCCCAAATAAAGGTCTGAAGACAGTCAGGACACTAATTTATCCTGACGAAAGAAAATACTACTTTATGAAAGAATGTAGACTATAAAAATCATCCAAGATGCAGAAATTAAACCTTTCTTGGAATAGTTACAGCTGAGGAGAGAATGGAGAGATACCAACACTAACTAAATACTGCATAACAGGTGATTGAAGCAAGCAGTTCCAAATGGAAAACTATTCTGACCCATTCAAAAGGTCAAATGTTTTTTTGAAACTTCATTTAAAACCAAAAGGTTTCAAATGCAGTAGAGAGTTATGTAATGCTTGTTTTTTGAAACCCTCCTTTGCAAGATTCCTCATGAAGTAAGTGTAGCAAATGAGAAGATAAACCAAGTGTAACTAAGAGTTACAGAGCATGAGATGACAGGCAAAGTTCTCTGAGAACTGTCACCACTGATGGTAAGACACATAGCAAGAAGAAAGCAAGGATTTGTGTTTGGCAGCTATCCATGATATCTGCACACCAGTGGCTTTCTGAAGTTCCACAGAACTCCTGTGAGAAAGCAGAAATCAGTACTTCATTGCTAATTTATATTTCTGGAGAAAGAAAAAATAAACCCCAAAAATTTAAAGCATTCTACAGAGGACCTTCAAACTAAATGGATGATTGGCTTTGAAACACAGAAAACAGCCAAAACTAAACCACGAACTCCTGTTTCATAAACAATTGCAGGAAATACTAAAATCCTTCTGTAACATACTTATCTTAAAACCAGAAGACTTAACATTTCATAATCCTGCTTAGATACTCTGTGAAACACCACTGCACTGCCTCAATAACACAAAATTGTAACTATGAAAAGGATTTTTTTGTAGAAGGTTCTGCTAAGCCTAAAACGAACATCTGACGTAGTAACATAAGTTTACAACTTTTCTATCATTTAGTGCTTGTGGAGTAGAAATTTTTCTGGTGGGTACAGGAGTTGTAGATAACAAAATATTCGTGTAGACTTACATGTATCAGTAGTCTACATCAATCCTACTCCTTCAGTCTGCCCACAAAGTGATGGAAGAGCATTTTGCCATACAGAAACATACAGCCTAAAATCACACAGAATGAGGAAGCACAGCAGTTAACCAGCAGTTAATGCTTCCCACTGTTAAAGAAACATAGATAAAGAAAGGTGAGAGAGCTCTGTCTCCACTCAGTTTTTGATCCATAGGGAAGACCACCAAGCAGCAAGCAGGTCATGTTTCAATCACAAGTACTTCCACTGCAATTCCAGCTATTGATTCACAGAGTATGAGCCAATACTCTCCAATTAACTTAGGGACATGGAACCAAAAGGACAAAAAAATCAAAACAAATTCTCTCTTACTTATCTGTAGTGCAACTACAGTAAAAATCTGAATTCCCTCACAGAGCCTTTGTCACAACAACCACTCTGAGCGCCTGCTGCCACAGACACAACTTATGTTGACAGAAGTGACTTTATGCTGACATAGCTGTCCCACCATTTCAAACAAACTTTGTTCTTTCCTTTCAGAGAAGGATTTTTTTTTCCAGTATGCTGTTTCCTTGACCTGTCTGCACCACCCCAGCTGGGCCTGCTCCACCAACTTAGACAAAGAGATTCACATCATTTCCAACTGAGGAACTGCAGTTCTCAAGTCAAGATATACTTCTATTTTATCTTTCTACTGGTTTTTCCTGAACATCAGACTTTACATCCACTAAGTGGGATAAATACCAATTACTCCAAACTCATTATCAATCAACACAGGCTGATTCTGGGAATACAGATGAATCTCAGACTTGAGAATATTTAGGTTAATTTAATTTAATGAAAAAGAATTCCTGTTCCAATCTGTGACATAAGGAAACGCTATAGATACTTCAGAAGAGGCAAATGGTTAAGTAATGAAAAAGTAATGAGCACATGAGACAGTCTACTTCTATGTTAAACTGGTTTCTTTTCCAAACCTTCTACACAGCTGTTAAATAAACAACTTTTCCTTCTTTCTTAAAAAAGAAAGCGAGAAATACCACTGGTTATACTGTCAAGGTCTTTTCAGCTCCTCACACCACCCCACCAGCAAGTAGGCTGGAAGGCACAAGAAGCTGGGAAAAGACACAGCAAGGACAGCTGATCCCAACTGGCCAAAGGGATGTTTGATACTGTATCACAGATGGTAATATTAAATGCAAATAAATTAAATTAAATGAAAAACTGGCTGGGGGCTGCTGTTTGGGAACTGGTTGGACACTGGTCAGTGGAGGGCAAGCAACTTTGCTGGGCATCACTTGTTTTGTATATTCGAATTCTTTTATCATTCTCATCCTTTCCTTTTTTGTCCTATTAAACTATCTTTATCTCAATACAAGAATTTTAACTTCTTACTCAATCTCTTCCCCATCCCTTTCTGGGGATGTGAGGTGTTGTGTGAGTACCTGAGATGTGTTTAGCTAGGTTAAAACATGACATTCAGTCATGACCCCAAGGCTTTTAACACATGATAAAGAGGGGTCTTGCTGTAACATCCAATACCTCTTTCAATACTCTGGGATGAAACCCATCAGGATTCATGGACTTCTCAATATTCAGCTGAAACAGCTGGTCCGTTACAATTTCAGTGTCCACAAATGAGAACTCACTATTCCCACACTTGCAACACTCAGACACAGGGTACTGGGCAGCCCAAAGCCTTTCTTATTTTCTCCCTGCCTATAAGAACAGGGCTCTGTATCTTCAAATTCACTTAAAAACAACAGGTTTCTAGCTGGCAATTCTGATGGCAAATGCTACAACCATATATCAAATAATGATTGCAAAGAGAAAAAAAATCAACCAAAATAATTAAGAATTTGCACTTGAATTTGAATTGGAAAGTACACTACACATTTTTTAATATTACTGGGAAAAATCCCCACCATAAACTGGAAGCTAAATTACAGCTAAAATTCTTACAATATATGCTTATTTCCCTCTTAGAAATAATGTATCATATTTTAAGGAAGCATATTATTTACATTTGTTACATTTGAAGACAAGAATGTAATTTCAGATGCCTAACTAGGAATCACTGGTGAACCACAGTAAGTTGTGCTACTCCGCTGATACATATCCTTTTCAGTAACAATGACAACAGGGTGGAGTGTTCAGAATGGTATTTATACTAGCAAAAAATATTTATTTCAAGCTCAATTTTGAAGTTCAAGATTATTGTCTGTTCTGAAAACAAATAAAACAATTCTGCACAAGCCTGAATTCTGAAGACATAAAAGCCCACACCCAGAAATATGGTAACATGAAGAGTGATGAGCAAGTAACTTTGAGAAAAATGTGTAATTTCAAATGCAGTGACTGGATTGTGATAAACACAATTTTTGCTGCACTAATTTAAAAAGATAACTCTCCTTGACTATCAGTTCAACTCCCTCTGGGAGGTAACATATCCACAGCAGAACTTCCAGAAAGAAATGGATGTATGCATTTCTGTGGGTCAATACAGTTATTTAGCATTTTAACACAAACCTGTGCCCTGTTACATTGGCATGGACAGCTGCTGAAGCAGTTTAGGTACGGACACACTCACTCGATAATTGCACTGAAACGTCAATGCTGACATATTAAAAGACAAAGAACAAGAATTTTTGCCAAATAGATTTTATATCCATTTGTAATTACTCACTGAAGTTTAATTCATGAGATTATGTAATCTCCACCTGTAATATTAAGGACTAAGAAATGTATTAAATCTTCTTATTACTTTTAATTAGTAAGCACATAAACTGAAGAACCACCTTACCTGACAGAGTTTCGGTTCCTGTTTTCTATTTTCATTAAAATCTGTACATCTGATTGAGGAGATGCTGTATAGATTTTTAATCTGAAAAAAAAAAGGTGGTAAAAATGCAGAAGTGATGTACAATGACTTTTCTTCCTGTCATCCATAAGAGACTGATCTCTTATACATGTCAACAGCCAAAATAATGTATTTTTCATTAAAACAATAATTTGTCACATATTAGGTTTTTTTCTATAAATGAGGGTTGTAATTATTAGCATGTTTTTGCAATTACTCTGAAGGTTTATTGTCACCTCCACTGAAGTTAATTATGGTTACATTTTTCAGAATTACAGTTGCTTTATTTGGTCTTTATGCTGTAAGTCAGTTTCTTAATTTTTTGCTGTTTTAAATTTGGTGGCTGGACCCCCGGGTTAGTTATTTGGTGAATGTTAGGATGGTTTTCATTAAAGGAATTAAAGATGTACTGCTGACTGGGAACTCAGCTCCACAAGCTGATATTGCAGCTAATTTAAGCCATATATACAGAACCATTCCCTTTTATTAGTGCATTAAATCAACTAGGCAGGGAAGTTATTCAATACACACCTTTGACAAACTACAGGATCTGACTCCACTGGATCAATGTATGGCTTGAGGATATCAGCAAGTGTTTTATCGTCAGGCACCCTTTCAGCAAGATAAAAATCAAGCATGTGAGACATCCTTCATCATGTACACAAATGTCTATTGTGAGTCACCTGGAGGAAGCTGGATGCTACAGTGGCACAGCTGAGTAGTTTATGGGAGGATCACAAATGTGTATCAATACTGCACAGATATGGGTAGCTTTATCTCAGTTTCAGCACTGGGATTTCACAGGCACGTATGAGGAGTAAACAGATGAGTATCTCTAGTTTCTAACCCTGTGAAAGAAACATGCTGTTCCTGCAGCCCTAGGAGCACACAAGCACATAATTCTCATCTCCCTTCAGGCTAGGAAAAAAGGAGAAACATTTGTCAATAAAAGCTTATTTTTTTTTTGCCTTTTCAAAACATGTTTGTGGACTTTCCTACAAAGCAAACGTTTCACCCTGTATGAAGGTCAGCTCCAGAGTGCAGGTGAGGAGGGGTTGCAAATTGTGCTGAACATCTGCTCCATGAGAAGAGAGTATGTCAGGTGTAGGGGTACTACTATTATGAATATACAAACTCACTATTTACACAGAGAAAAGGACTAACATACATTAAGCCTGATTTGGAAAGTCTGCTAGCTTTCAGAGAGAAAAGCACTACACAACTTTCAGTATTTTTTAAATTGAAATGCCCTTTTATTTAAGACTAAAATTAATACCTGAGTTTACCTTGTATAACAGAACTTGGTAAGAACCGATCAAAATATTTGCAATTTAACTTCAGCAGATTAATTTAAACTTTATAAAAAGTCCTGTACCCTTTTAAAGTGTATTCAGCATGACAGTGAGGAAATATGAGCTTCAAATGCCAGTAGAACTTGTTCTCCCTGAAAACAAAAAGAAATGCATATTCTTAGTTGGTAACAACTACCATTTTTTTTTCTGTGATAAAGCTTGGTAACCTACAGCACAGGTGCACAAGAAAATATGTGGTTAAGATTTTGAATGGCTTCAAAGAGTAAAAGGGGCATGCAGAGAAGCTGAGATGTCCTTTGAAAGATGTAATGCTCCCACATCCTGCTAAATTTCAAATCTTCATGGAATGAAAATCTGTTCCTTACAAATATAAGATATCACAAATTAACTGATCAACAGTATTTCACATTTTAAAAGTGAGTATGTTCCAGCTGCCCTTTAACTTCAGAAAAGGAAACTGCTTTTTGGCACATCACCCAGGACAGATTACCAAACCTCTACAACAATAATAACCAGAGTCCCAGGTGAGGCTAGGTCCTACAGAACACAGGGCACCCAACCTTTTCCAGCAATGATGGCCTGAACAGAAAATGCCTCATTGCCAGGGAAGGAAGCTGCCTTCCGACATAACATGGATAAGACAAGTTAGAAAGAACAAACATTTTACAGAAAGATCGTAAAACTTCTGGTAGAGACCAAGTGATGTCACATTTCTTTCTTCTGTACATTAGGTCTTATTTTTAAGACCCACCACCCCTTTAGTGCTAGCATAAGTAATACCTGAGAACAGAAGCTACTGAAGCATAGCTTGAGAACAGCATCATCTTAGGCAGTATTTCTAGAGAATGCTACATCAGGGAGTCTCTATTTCCCTTTTTGCTCATTCGCAGAAAATCTGCAGAAACTTTTCTAAAATAATTCCCTAAGAGAAAGCACAATCTAAAAGGTAGGTTCCTGGCCTTTTGCTCTGGTTCAGAAATTCACACTCATGACAAACAGCAAAGATTTAAAAATCAGAGTTCAAACACCTGTGAAGCATGGGGACATCTAATGATGTCTTTTTTTTTAACTACTTTTTAAAACATTATTAAGATGAATCATTGCATCCAGGAGAATCATCCTCAGTTATGCAAAAGATTCTGGTCTACAATAAAAAGTAAACACAGTGTTGTTCTAACATGTTGTTTAATTTGTTTATCAGGCGCATGAAACATTATCCAGCAGGTTCTAGCTGGCTGCAGAGAGGAGTGTACGTGCATGCACTAGCAAAATAGTAAACTTAGCTGCTAAGATCAATTAACTGTGATACCAATTTTTAAATGCAAGCACTTTTTATAAAGTGAGCTTATTAAACAAGTAATTCCCTTACCTAGTTGTTCCTAGGAGAAAAATGAGCTTTACAGCTGAACTATACTTTCTGGAGTATAAGTAAAATCAGATGTATTAGTATTTATCAAAAAAAGAGCAAGCAGGAACCCCCATCTTCAAGAAAGTAATAATTAGAATAAAACAAATTAATGAAGTCCAGGGTCCCCGAAGTAATGCGTGCCTCAGCAGAGTTGTGCAGCATGCCTTGTGATTCCTCCCTTCTTTCTGCTCATGATTGTTAAAGTAGAGAATGAGAATGTGGAATTAGAGAACGTCAGGTCTGGAAGAGGTAAGAAGATTGTATGGCCAGAGCTGGAGGCTAACACTGAAAATATTATTAATCATATAGTATATATATAACCACAATAACCATAGTATTTGGGTTCATGAATTTTATACTCTTTTGCATATTGGTATGACAGTCTTAAATTACCAGACTGCAAAATGTTTTGAAATAACTCAAAACCATTGAGTGGAATTTTGGGAGTTTTTTGCAAGGTAAGTAAAACAAGGTTTTGCAATTCTTATCTTGACAGCTGAAGGAAGCACCAATGCTACCATACACACAGAGCAAACTGGAATATCAATAAGGTTATGTAACTAGTTCAGTTCTCTTGTGATTCCTCTCAGACATGTTAATATCTGCCATTTAACATGGAACGGTGTTATTTCAAAGCACTTTCCCAGGGAGACTAGTAAAAGTTAGTAAGCTTTAGACACAGAAGTAGGGACACCAACATTAGCTGAAGGAAACACTTATGATGGGCACATTTATTAAAATGTTTATAAGGACTGTTCAGATGAGGGGTTTGTTTTATGTTATTAACTAACAAGAGGCTTGGTAGCATGTTTTCATTTAACTCACCATCTTCCACAATTTTTTCAAACAGGCCATGTTAATCTATTCTAAGTGACCCTTTCTGTGACACTTTGATCTTTAAATCAAGACAGCCAAAGTATGAGAGAGACAAACCATGACACAGCTCACAGAAACATGTACGTGGCCCACAGGACTGTCTCTAACACAGGCACTTGAAAAAGAAATGCTCCAAAAAGAACTTCTAGGTATCTGCTACCTGTTGCTAGGAACACTCTACATGTGTCTGTAAATGGTTGCCACACAGCACATCCTCATTTCACATGCAAGACTGATTCCCTGTGGGCTCACTGAGGCAGACTCAGTTCACGACTGCAGCTGTAAAATCAGCTTAGAGGATTGTTCTCAGACTTCCGCCCTCCCTGCCCCTTCCAGGCACAATCTAGTCTATGGAATAGTGCACAGAAAGTCAATCAGGGAAGCTGAAGTTAAAAAGCTCATTTCTCATCAAAAAGTTCCACTTTGAAAAAACAGAAATGTTGATTTTATTTCCTCAGCAAACTAATACCATGACTAGCAATTAATGACTAAATCTCTCTTCAAAGTACTCTTGCCTGGAAGTAAATGGCAAGCAGAAAGAGGCAAGACAGTTTAAGAACAGGATAGATGTAAGCAAGAAAAAAAGAAGCTTGGAACAGGAATAGCCTCATACTCTTCACTATAATGAAGTCTTGAAAAACAACCTGCTGGGTGCCTGTTATTGAAGTGAAGCCTCCCTCACCATCACTGATGTGTGCCCAGAGAACTTGATGTCAGCTGTAGATGCTATCATGGCTGCTTCACAACAAGTTCTGATCAAAGTCAGATATCCTGGCTCCAGATCTCACTTACTTAATTTTCCATTATGGCTCACTGGGGTAGTATTTCCTTCAAATGCAATGGACACGTAGTATGTTCGTTTTCTAAATTAAAATGCCTAATTGAATTAGTCATCTGCATTGGAGTAACAGCTCACTCCGTGAAGCATTCCATGCCACTCAGCTGCCATGGAATGCCCCTCCAAAAGTGCCCTGGTTTTTTGGCTACCAAGGCACTGACTATAAAAGTACCCAACAGCAGAAATCTGGGCGAAGCACAAGCATTTCAGTGATGTCAGTGAAAGTAGCATCATAGCCCATCCCTGCACTGCTTGGTTTCATCTCCTATTCTGGCTACTTCAGAAGCATGGAAATGGATCAGAGGGAATAGTGGAGCCAAGCACCCCTCTCCTTGCATGAGATGTAGATGCAAAATGCATTCAGAACTGCACAGGCTGTTTCACAACTACAGTTCTAGAAAAAGTGAGTTTCATTTCTCCTAAAACTTCCAAAAATTTCCTTTGTCATCAGCTGTAGTTGCCCCAGAACTAATGTAGATGATTTAAAAATTTTTCACAGCAACAATGGAAACATTTTTACTTCTGATGTTACAAAGACAGCACCAGTATATACAAAGTGGCTGTCTCTTCCAGCTGGCTCTCAGAACAACCACAATAATTTTCACTACCTTTACAGTTACAGCAGTACCTAGGAAGATGCTCAAAAAACTGTGACTGCAGCCAGTACAGCTGCTGGGAATTAAGAATTTATCTACAAATATTCTGGACTTGGACATACCTGTTAAGTGCCTTGGCAGAAGTGTCTAATGTTTACATATTTATTCAAAACTATATGAAATATCTCATAAAGATGAATTCTAGGCTTCCAATGAGCATTTCCTCTCAGTTTTGTCTAGAATGCAGCAGAACTGTTTTAAACATCTTTAGAAGGTATTTTTAAATGTGTATATATATATATATATATATATATATATATATATATATGCAAACTAAAATATTAACAAAAAATCCAAATTCATCACATCTTAATATTATCAACTGCAGTTCTGGCTCTACAGAAGTATTTCACTGGCAGCTTGTCAAAGATAGTGATTCACTGATGATTCTATTTCAATTTAGCAACTAGTATTCTTAAAATATTAGTATACAGGATATCTTACGTCAAAAGTGCAAATACTGCAGTATTTCCTGTCCTTTCATTCTGAATTCATAGAAGTGATTAAAAGGACATGAAGTTTAATGTCAGACCAGTTATCCTTTCATCTGAAAATACCCAGTACTCTCTCAGAATGCACTGAAGTTTAAGTGAAGTACTGGGCATTCAGCTCATATAGTTTTGGATAATACTGACTTCCTCGACTTACTTTCTTCTTCATGGGTCCAAGAAAGCAAGCAAACCTATGTGTACTAAGTAACAACTAAATTCAAGTTTAACAGCTCCAGTGCTGCTATATTAAGGTAAAACCCAGTTCAGAAAACTCCTCGCTGTATTCTCAAAATCAACATTTCAAACAATAATTGTAATTATCTCTACCTAGCTAAGAATTAGAGCTGACATTTTAGAACTTTCAAGTGTACCTCAAAGTGTAGCAATAATGATCTCCTAAAAGAGATTACCCTAATCCCAAATCTCCACACTGTATTTTTTTCCTGTATTACATCTAAGAGGTGAGGTAATGTAAAACTTCCTCCTTCCACATATATCCCTCTGACCAAATGCTCCCAGGTGCAAGCATGGCTGCTACAAGAGAAGTTGGTAGACCTCTGGCCCCTCTTGGTGGGGAGGAGAGGTAAATAGGATTTTCTCTGGGAGAGACGCTGTGAACGGATTGTGGAGGAAGCTGGCTGGGGATGTCTATGACAGTGCAAGCATCAGGGAGGGCTGGAGTAGGGCAGCACAAGCTGCAGAGCTCAGGGAACTGCACTGCTCCATTTCAGTGTCTCACTACACCATCTCCTGCCAGGGAACAGGAGCCATGGACTTGCAAGCTCATTCCCCTCTTCCCAGTTGACCTGCTGGCTGGAGCTTCCTAGATGGTTTCAGTTTCAGCCTGGCCTCACCCTTCACCCCTTTCCCAGAGGCTTTCTATCCCAGCAATTCACCATCAACTCCATGGAAGAATGTATCCAGTGGGAAACTCTCAGCTGTATTGAAAATAAGGGTACCACAGGAAATGTAGGGTGAAGCAGCACTTCAAAACTAATTTATGAATAAGTCAGACACACCATGAGTTCACACCCTGGACTCAGACACTACTTTCTAATGACCCTCCATTACCTATATATTCAATATTACACATTAGTCTAATCCATGTGTTGCCCAGCATTGGCACGTATGCTTTCACATCAGCTGTAGCAAACAAACTCATGGAATCCAGGAAATGGAGAGCCTGGCTAACACATCAAAACAACAGTGATGTGTCCTCCAGCGCTGGCACGGGCAGGGGATGACACAAGAATACATCTTGTACTTCCTAGCCTTGGACTGCTCTCATTCCTGCCTTGTACTGCCCAACAGCTTGGCTCGCAGGGAGAGTGTCAAGAGGACATGGGAGAAGCCTGTTCTCAGTTTTCCATGCACAGATGTTGAGCAGCTTCCGGCCTCCACCCTCTGGAGTAATCTGTCTACAAATCTGACTGACAAACAGCTTGAGAAGGGGCTCACATCTACAGGAGAGAGACATGCCTGACCCTGAGCACTGTCAGGTGCTAAGCCCATATAATGGATATATGACTATCTGCACAGCTTTACCTCATTTCAATGTGATATTCAACAAAATGTTATGGCTGTCATGAAGTCCCATGACACAGGTGCTAAAAGCCTGATAATCCAGGTTGGTTTGACCAAACTTGATTCCTTAGAACACAGAACATGCCATTTAAAAAAACAAAACCAATAAAAAAAAAAAATCCCCAAAACCTGGCATTAATTTTTAATCTGCCTCACTGGATTCAAAAAGTCAATTGTTGTGTGAATGCCAATAGCAGCAATAGAGAGGAAATACATCCTTTTTGTAATAATCACTTAGCATATTCCATACCCTTGGACAGCATTTGCAAGAAAAGGACAGTGATTTCCTATGTCTTCAGGACAGATAATGTTATCAAGTCCTTTCTGGTGGGATGTAAAAGTTCCAGAAAAGCTACCATTCCACAGCAACAACAAAAGTTCCCCAGGACTTTATGAATAACACCAACCAGTAAGGCATCTTACCAGAAAGCCTGTGAAATATTTCCATGCCTATTTGCCAAGAAATCACCTTCCTTGCCCCATTCTTAATTTGTCCTCAGCATAAGCTACACCTCAGTGTGTATCCAAAAAAGCTTTCTAGAGGAAAAAGGAAACTGTCCATGAAGCCAAATGTCTGCCAGTAGAGCACTGTGCCATGGCCAGGATCTTCCCAACAGTGTCAAACCTGTCCCTGTCTGTGCCTCTTCTGTCCTCTTACCTACTGACCCCAGCATTCCTGGGCTTCCTGCACTTGCTCTTGAGGGCTGCTCCCTACCATGTACTTGTTAATTGTGTTTATTTTATCTGTAACACTGAGGAAATTCCCCATTAAAGTGAAGCTCAGCTTTGAGCGTTCTTCCAGCATGAGACTAGTGAAAGGGATCTGTATAAGGTAGAGCATGCAGCCAAATACACGAAAGTCAGTGCAGAGGAAGACACCTCTGCAAAGTCTGGGAATGGCCTGCTCTGTTCTGAGAGGAGACCTATAAATCTGGAGCAGAGGGAGGAGAAAATACCTCAGATACCCTTTCTTTCCATTGGTTCAGTCTGAGTTTTCTCTAACAGAACTGGTAGAATATGTAACTTCAAAAAGGTTACACTTCTACATCTGTTTGATGCCTAATGTTCTGCTAAAATCTACTCTGTGTGCAAAACCAAACCTGCCCATGTTTTTCCCTAGAGCAGCCTCAAGGACCCAGGTGGGTGTGTTAGCAGTTTCCAGGTGGGTTGTTGCTCTGTCAGAGACAGACCTCTGGTGGCCAGCCAGAGACCGACACCGTGGAGTGCACAGCTCCCAGAACAGAGGGAAAACACATCCTGAAAACACAAACTGCCACCAAAACCACGAACAAAACAAGTAAAGAAGCCATCATAGGGATATGAGCCATCAGGGATGTCACTGACACTCAGAAGGTATTTTTATTTGACCCCAGTATATCACTGAGCTAAACTGTAGACCTGAGTCCTGTCACAATGAAATACTTCATCATTTCTTTCATTTTTGCTGCGAAAATACTTTAAAATACAATCTCTTGATATTAGAGAACAACCAGAGAGTGGATAAAGGAAGAAATATTTAAATTTTCCCTAGCCTCTTTCCTGAATTTCTATTTGTCTGCACTTATCTCTCTAAGCTGTGCCATATCCAACATTCCTGTCCTCCAGCACAGCAACTCCCACCACAGAATGCAACACAGGTACTGAAACACCTCTCTTTTCAGAGACAGGGATTTGTGCAACCTTTCTACATCAAACAATCCTCTATCATAAAACCTCCAAAGCAGCATTTTCTTTTTCCAGAAAAAAAACCTAAGCGTTAATTAAAAGAAAAGACCACAACAGCACTGATTCTTTGTTCCATTACCCAATGTTAGCATTTTTCAAAATAAAGCATGAACTATGTAAGCTGTTAAACCAAGCTCCAAGAATCTAAACAAAATGAAAACATGAAAGCATGAAATATTAAAAAGCTTTTGCAAAAAAATGTGCATCTAACAAATTTTAAAGCAAGCATATTGGTATGAACTCAAATTCTCATCATTATATACTCAAAATATTGCTGACTGTAACCAACTGAAGACTCACATGGAATTGAAGGTGGTAGAATTTTCTCTTCTTTTTGTAAATCCAATAGGCAGTGTTTTTAGCTCAATATTACACCCTCGAGCTTTGTTCCTCAAGCAGTATAACTGGCAAAAATATAATAAAAACATTTTAAAAAATCTGAATATATAAATCCCCTGAAAATTAAACAATAAAAGGGTGACAAGAATTATGAGAATACTATTGAAAAGGCCATATTTAATGAAATACTCTAATTTTTTAAAAAAAACATCCTGAATGAAAAAAATTAACTAAGCCTAGAAACTCTCTGAAACATTTTCCCAAGTTTTTTTACTATTAAAAAAGAACACGCCAATGATCTCCTCATAGAAAAAGTTCTTTAACATATCATGAAAGTCACAGTGTCACCATTGTGGGTGTAATACCACAAGGATGCTTTTCAGGCTACAAACCTGCTGTCAGAATGGATACTCAGGCACAATCCCAGCCACTGCCAAATTCTGTTCTGAAGGTAGCACTAAGGGCATCATCCCATTAACATGCCCAGTACCAGTTAGTTGACCTCTAACACTGGCACTCATGCAGCATCTCACCATCTTCAGGACATCACAGTGCTAAATACACACATGATTCCAGCAAGAGAGGAAGCTGGAGTCTTCTGAATTTATCTTGTCATCAATGTGAGTGCTGAGTTTAGGGCTGCATTTCAAGATATCTTCACAAGACTAGAAAACAAACTGGTCCTGATATCTTTCTGTGATTTATCAATAAATCAAAATATTTTGGAGTAGAGTTGGTTGGGCTTTTTTGGGTTTTGTCTGTTTGTTCATTGTTTTTAGTTTGGGGAGTGTGTTTGGTTGCTGAAAGAGCTTCAACAAAAACCCTTTCTCCCTTAGAAGGCTATCTTTTATGTCACTCTTGCTTAGATTTAGTCTTTGAAGAGCTCTAGCTGTCTTCATTTGGCATATAGGGAACCACATAACAATATTTAGGTGATTAATAAATCCATTGTTTACCTAGGAAGCGTGTACTTAAAAATTCAAAAGTTGTGGAGGCGTAAGGAAACAAGCATTCAGACTTTCTTAACACACATCTATCATCCAACAGCAACACTGGTCATACATAAATTTTAAGAAATGTTAGTGATCTTTTCTTCCAAGCAACTGGATGTAGCCATCAATACTATTGCTGCATAACCTAGAGACCTCTATTGACTTCTGGCTCTAAATTTCAGGGTCATTCATACCTTCAAAAGACAGGTACCAACTCTGGAATCTGGACTGGGACTACCTCAGTGTGAATTCAAAGGTAGCTGACCCTAATTCTAACAGAGCAAAAGGAGAATCAAAAACTTACAAGTCTTTTTGTTGCTGGACTATGCACAAGGCAGTGTCGAGCAGCAGCATCAGCTGTCCTTCCTACATCTTCCAGGAAACGATAATCTGAAGGTTAAATAGAACAAAGAAAAATGTAGTGCCAGCCTAGTAAAACCAGGGAGTTTTAGAACACACACAGTATGTTCTTACCACTCAGAAGGTTCAAGTCAGTAAATTCATTCACAGAGACAAACGCTGTTTTATCCCTGACTCCATTACAGCTCAGTGTAAGCTTATGTTTCTTTACACACAACAGGCTGAAATGACAAAAAAAAAAAGAAATTAACATGTTCAGCACATGAGTGGGGAAAATAATCAAAACTATTTAGTTCAGATAACAGATACCTGCAGGAATATTTCATGCATCGTGGACATCTGTACTTAGCTTCTTCTTTGCCACAGGTTTCACACCTGAAAGAGTTAAAAAACACTTCTCAACAAGACAGCATTTTTGCACCTGGCTGGCCTGTGAAAGTGCCTGCTCAAAAAACAGGCACTAGGCCACCAGTATTTTCAGGAAAAGCTATTTTAAGTGCACCTTGAAAGGAGAAAGAGAAATTACAAATATCCTGGATTAGGGAAAGTGGCAGACAAACCAACACAAGCTATGTGGAGTATCTTCAAACACACACATATTAAAACACTGTAGATGCCTGAAAGAAAAAAAACCCATATGCTAACTGAAAAGCTGGAAACACAGCAAGCCTTTATCAGCTTATGCTTTGTGGCCTGTGCTTTTCTCCTTTTGATCACCTGTACTGTACACTCTACCATGCTGGTTTATAATACTCCAGCTTTAGGCAGATGGAAAATAAATTTAATGGATTTACACCAAACCCTGAACAATACATCCCATTTTTTTTCACTGGAACAAAAAGAGCATGACAAAATGGTCAGCCAAACAACTTCTGGCTGTCAGCAGGGCAAACTCCAAAGTCAGGGAACCTTTCAGGCACAATGTGTAAGATTTATCAATTCAGCTAAAAAGTACCAGTGAAAAATTATATTCCTCTACAAATATGACCATGTTTTTACTAGGCTATCAAAACAGCTGTTTCTCCAAAAGGTCTCTATATGTCAACTGAAATAATCACCGCTCTTATTTTAAATCTGACAAAGAGAAAAGCGGAACAACAGTTCCCCGCACCAGTAAAACTTTCGAGAACCGTACAAACGCACCATTCTCAGCTCCAAGGGGACAAGCGCCAGCCCCAACCCATTTCTCTTCCTCTCCCCACCACGTGCTCGCTGTTTGCTGCCAGCGAGGGCCTGAAGGACAAGCCCGGCGGTACCATCGCCCGACGAGCTCTGTGACTTAGCAGCACAAAGCCATTCTAAGAACCGGCAAAAAGGGTTTCAAGCACTGCAAAGCAGAAACGGGGTTATTCCGAACAGGGATTCCCTTTCCTTGCCCCGCAGGATCTGCACGGTGCCCGCTGCCCATCACCGCTGCAGGGGGGCTCAGCCCCGGGCGGAGGCAGCGCGCAGCCCCTCGCTCGGTCGGGCCTCCCCCGTGCGGGAGCTGCAGGGCACAGGACCACCCGCCGAGCCCCGGGGAAGGCGCTCCCGAAGTCCGTGCGGCCGCTGCCGCCGCCTCACCGTACCTGTGCAGGGACATCTTCCCGCCGCCGGCCGCCCGTCCGGGCCCGGCCCCAGCCCCGGCCCGCTCCGCCATGGCCGCGCCGCGGGGCAGCACGGGGCACGCGCGGCCTCCGCTGCGCCGCCTGGCGGCTGCGAGCCACAGCGCAGCCGCGCCCGGACCTGAGGGAACCGGGACCTGCGGGATCCGGGATCTGCGGGATCCGGGACCTGCGGGGAACCGGGACCTGCGGGGAACCGGGATCTGCGGGGAACCGGGACCCGCGGGAAACGGGAGCTGAGGGATCCGGGACCTGCGGGGATCCGGGACCTGCGGGGAACCGGGATCTGCGGGGAACCGGGATCTGCGGGGAACCGGGACCTGCGGGATCCGGGACTTGAGGGATCCGGGATCTGCGGGGATCCGGGATCTGCGGGATCCGGGACCTACGGGGAACCGGGACCTACGGGGAACCGGGATCTGCGGGATCGGGGACCTGCGGGATCCGGGACTTGAAGGAACCGGGACTTGAGGGATCCGGGACCTGCGGGGATCCGGGACCTGCGGGGATCCGGGACCTGCGGGATCTGGGACCTACGGGATCCTGGGCTTGAGGGATCCGGGACTTGAGGGAACCGGGACCTGCGGGATCCGGGACCCGCGGGAACCGGGTTGGGTTCCAGCCAGGGAGGGTTTCCAGGCGCAGAGGAGGCTCCCCAAGCCGCACACCTGGGCATCGTTCCTTACCTGTCCGTGTCCCGCCGCACCGGCCGCGCCCCCGCTCTCTGCTGGGATGTGCGTTTTTGCCTCAGCTACGGAAATGCACATCCGAACAGCCTTATAAGACTTTAAGGTCCTTGCTTTTAAAATAGGTATTTTCTGAAATTAAGAACTCCCAAAAATAGGGCAAATGAGACGAATAAAAATATACATGAAGCAGACCGTTTTCTAAAAATTTGTAATCTTAGAAAATACCCCCAACATTTGCCAAAACATCACCTCCAAAGCCAAACACAGAGCAAATGTCAAATCATAATGTCAGTGTATTGATCTTGAAAATACAAAAAGTGAGACATTTTCTTGTCCTTCTGTAATCTTGCTTTTAGTTGTATCAGATTTTTATCAAAGTGGTCAAAAATGATGCTTTGATACAAAATGTAAGATGGGATGTGCACGGACATTACTTTGTAAAAGCAAATATCCCTCTGGCAGTATTCCATGGCACAGAGCATATGCATTTCCCCTTGAGAAGAGAAACACTGCCACCTAAGAAAAGTGCCCTTCTAGAGAATTTTCCTCATTTCTAAGAATGACCTATACAATATAAACAGAATAGTAAAAGACAAAGAGATAGCTTGGAAAATTATTTTATTATACTTTGGTGGTGTGGCTTACTGCAGATGAAGACAGGTTGTTTGAACACTCCTGGGCTCCCTCAAATACAGCCCGGTATCACCTTGCTGAGCATACTTTGAATTGATAATAGATAGAGGTGTATCAATATAAATAAAGAGTGCTTTTCCTAATGGTAAAACTGTTATTTTTTACCAAAAACAAAACAAAACAAACAAAAAACCAAACAAAACCAAACTTCACTGAACATTTTAGGTTTAATTTTAAAAATCCAAAATTATCTAATAAATTTTGCAAAAAAATGGAATTTCTAAGACGATGAAATGCTGATTATAATTTAACAGTAGCCATTCAGAAGACACGCTATAGTCGATTTTTTTCAGAAGTTACAAAATATATACAGAATATATCATCTTAAGATGGCTTTGGCATTAGCATAGTTAACTGAAATACAGAATTTAAAGTCAAAACTACTTTAGGTAGTTCTTACAACAATTTTCACAATGGCTGTAACGGAAACTGTTCTGACTATATGCATCATATACAATATGCTGTCTTATACACCATTTCCAAAATAGTACACAAAAATATTTTAAACAAGAAATCCACATAAATAGTATTTTCAATTATGTGAAGTATGCAACCAACGGTTTAAAATAAGTACCTTTACAACAGAAAAATATCCTGATGTAACCAGCACATACAGTCTGAAAGATAAAAAGGGATTCAAATAATCTCTGCTAAGGCCACAAGCACCCTGTGTTATGAAGAGCACCAAGGCAACATGGACAGGAAACACAAAGAGGTAGTGTGCCATCTGTTCAGATGTGTGTGTCCACAAAGGACTGGAATAAAGCAATGGTTAAGAAAAGAAGACTTACTGTACTGTGGCATGATTCACTTTTCATATAAAAGCTATTGCACATTTAGGAGCGTTAGCAGGTATTGCTCCTCAGTATCATACATCTCCAGCTTTCCTCAGGATGACTTTTGTGCAGTGCTGTTAAAAAGATTGCTAAGAACACTTGATGTCCTGAAAAACTCCATGTTCAGATACTGTATTCCAGATAATTATGCAAGAAAGCACCAAGAAATTTAAATACTTTAAGAAAAATTGCTTTAGTATTTTCTTTCTTAGATTTTTTCAATGTAATTTCTCCTTAGGAGGAAGTCTTTTTCTTCCTGAGGTTCTTTAACCAACAACACTTGAAATGATTCTTCAGTTTCCTAGTAATTTTGCCTGCAATGAATCATTACTTTTGTATTCAATCTGTGCAGTAACTCCATGTTGATGCAACAAGAAACTTAAGACAGAAATCTTAAAGGAAGCATACGGAACCACTTTCTATGAAGTGCTGCTGTCCTGGTTTGAGGTGAGGAAGTGCATTAACTTGAACAACTGGAAGCTGATTAGTGTCCTGAGTGTGAAAAAAGAACTGTGTCTTATGCCAGCTGCCATCTTCAATCTGAAACAGACAGGAGAAGCATCTTAGAGTCATATAAAAGATGAGCTTCAAAAGACAAATTAAAATTGTGCTTACAGAGTGAAAGAGAAGTAGTGCACAGAAACATTTATTCTATCAGCAGTTCCTAATGAAACTGTGTAATTTAACAAATGCCATTTCTGAAGCCTGAATGTTCATTTTCAGGGTAACTGTTTCTAAATTTTCCTGGAGGCTCCCTATTTCTGTGCTGATGTGTCTGCAGTGTTTCTGTACAGTCTCAAAATACATGAGACACAATGCAAACAGCAAGTATAGATACCCTGTATCACTGCAATTGCTTTTACCCTTGAAGAGATGATGAATTCAGTATCTAAAGGCTGGCATATGCAGAACTTTAAGGGATGTGAATCTAAATGATGTTATTTATTTGAAGAAGGTTAGTAATGTCTAAACAGTACCTCTGACATCACTTTAATAATGTGATTCTAGAAGGTATTTACCATGCATTCGTCCAGAAGCACTTTAGGTTCCAGTAGTGTATTCGCTTTAAATATTTGACCGTTCCATCCTTTAAAGGTAACTGATGTCTTCCGGCCACCTGCTCTAGTTAATCCCCACATCGGCGTGTTTAGACAATGAACTGTGATGCTGTGGGTTGCTTCTGAGCTCAGTAAATGAAGGAAGTTCATCTGCACTTTTCCAACACCGAACTCCAGCTAAATTCCGAGGGAAAAGCATTGTTAGACTTACAGCTGGACTGTGCTGAATGGCCCCAGCAACACAAAGTGCCATGGACATGTCAGTGTGCTGCTCAGGCACGGGAGCATGTATACATGTTTATGTTGGGGTCAGTGCCAAAGAGCACGATTTGCATTCCTCAGGGAGATGTTAGGTCCTATTACAGTCATTGCTATAAACAGAAGCTTTCATAGGACATTTTCAAAGCTTAAATATAAACATTTGCTGATGCTTACAACACTGCTGAAGCACAGCTGGTCAGAAAACAGTATTTTTAAATAAGAAAGCTGAAACAAATGCTTGTGTGATTCAAACAAAGATATTATCAGCAGGAGTGTTTTACCTGAAGCCACATCACTCTGCTGTTTAGTCTTCTTGAACCATAGGTTCTGGCAATACTGATAGTCCATTACAAATACAAAATTTCATCAGTGTATTTTGATTTTAGACAGAAAATACAGTAACTCATTATACAAGAAGAACTTTCTCCAAGACTATGTCATGTTCAGGGATCTTCCAAACGTAGGAATGCATTTGTGATCTTCACAGTATTTCTGAAGTTCTTCAAAGACTACAGTGTATATACAGAACTTCACAAACATAAAATTTCTATTCCCAAGAGTTCAAGAACTACATGTAAAGAGGAGCAAGAACTAATGATGTACAGAAAACTAGTCCCTCCCTAATGGCATTTAAAAGTTCCTAAGTGTTGGAAAGCAGTAGTAATTTTCATTCTTTTATTGTAACAACCTCAGTATCTCTGTGCTTAGGTGTACTAAGTGATGAGATACTAATATGGCTTAGAAATATTTCAGAGTTACTTTTATGCCTTGTATAAGAAAGTATAAAGCAAAACAAAATAATGATATCAGCATAGATAGAGTTTTACACAGTGAGAATTACTAACATATATAGTCTCCAGAAAATCTGTAATTTCTGTACCAGAATATATAATGTCCTTCCATAAAGATGCATAATAATGCCGCCCTGAAATCTAACTCTTTTTAATGAGTTATGTAAATAAGTATGCATTTATTTAGAGTTCAAGCACAGACACAGCATCTCTAGAAGCAATGCATACCTTTGTCACAGACAGTGGTGTTAAACATGTCTGACCACCTGCAGTGAAGTTGCAGAAAACTTCAATGGCATCAGAAGGACATCCAATATTTGGGTCAATCCAGTATTTTCCTATCAGTATATCATTCCAGACAGAAAATAAAATCAAAATATAATTACTACTAAGAAATTTGCTACAATAATCATACTTCTTGGCAAACATTACATATATTATCACTATACCTTCACAAAGAAATGAAAGGAACATGAAAATGTTTTCATTATTAAAATTATACTAATAACAGATACTGATAAAAATTACCACAATAAATCACTTCTGACTACAATTACACTGATAGCTTTAAATAGGAGTTTTGGGTTTTTTTTTTTTTTTTAATATTGATTCAGGAACTCCTGAGCTACAATGACTGTCAGTGTATCTGACAGTGGTAATGTACAGTATGTAATTTTTTCATCAGGAATCTAGAATCTTGCAAGATTAGCTATAAATATTTGGAAAACTTCAAACCACAAAATTGCATTCAGTTTCAAATTTTCTGCATAAATCTGTTTATTGATAGATATTTTCTGTCTAAGATTTATATATTAGATAGCTACATACTTCTACCTTTAAAATTCAGAAATTTTATCTTAATGATAAAATAAATATATTTGTGACAGGCAAGAGAATACACTAAAAAAGAGTAAAAACATAAAATCTATCAGATCGGAATTTTAATGTAGAAAGCAACATTTGGAAGCAGCACCTTTGAAAGGTCCTTGTGTGAAAGTGGGCACTCACCATCTGACACTTTCCGTTCACAATGAAGCAAGTCCCTGCAGATGCGTGCTGGGTTGTCCCGTGTGCCAAGGGGGTTCTTGATGCTGTGCAGTAAATTGCTAAGGTAGTGGAGCGTTTTGAATATCTCTGTACTGTGATCTAGTAAAGTTACTTCAGTATTCTGGTATTTCTGCCAAGGGCCATTAGCAAATGTGTTACCACAAAGAAGTGTCACAGCAACAGCATATGCATTAAGAGTCAAATGTCAAATGGCCATTGAATAGCCAGACAGAATCAAAGTGTTTGTATGAATGCAATCAGCCATGTAAAACAACGTAAGGTAACATATCCCAATGAACAAATTAGGATATTTTATTAAAATTGTCAGAGCAGTGACCTTAAGGCAGACTTTAGGTCATGCAAATTTGTTATTATGATCTATTGACATAAAA